CACAACCACAGTTTAGCCACTGGATGGTTCTAACAAACAAAAATTAACTATAGCTGATGCTAAAGACCTACTTTCCATATAGATATTGAAGGTTGAAGGACAAGAATGTTTAAGCATCTCTATTTTACACAAATCAACATTTTCATCTCTAAACTTACTATATATGGGGGCAAGGTGTTTAGAGTCATTTTGCCACTTTATGTTAAAATGTCCATCTGTTTGTAAATAAAAGATCTTTCTGGAAGACCAAACACAAAAGTTCCTTCCTTGCAACTCATGGGTGAAATCATTTCTATATACTAAACAGTCTGCTCACTCATGATGCCCCCTTTTACTTCTATGTCAGAAAACTCAAACAATACTATGGCAAATTATCCGATCACCTATAAAGTTTTCATAGGGCATTTTTTCCCTCTCAAGTGTCATGTATTGGCAAGAAAATAAATTTCTAAGTCAAAGAAATGACTATTGCAAAATCAGAATTAGCAAGGAGATTCATAAAAAGATTTCCTGAAAATGGCCAAACTCTGAGCTACACAGGATGCATTTTCAAAAGAAAATCGTTGTTAAAAGTTACTTATGCCTCTGGAGTTAACTCATTGGCTTCATAAACTGTAAATCAATTTTCATGGCACAAATATAAATTTCACATTTAAAAATACTCTTCTCCCCCAGGCAAGTTCAAGTGAAACTCTCATTCATTCATTAACTGCACAAATATTTATCAAGTAGCCCCTGTAAGCCCACTTGTAGATGAGACATGGTAGAGTTTCCCCTGCAAGATAGAAATCTAAGCATTTAACTACATGATGAAGTACTGAGGTGAAAGCGTCCTATCATTAAAGTTTCTGGATAATACAGTTATGGGTTAAATTGTTCCCTCTCGGTGCTGAAGTCCTGATAGCTAGTGCCTGATAACCTTATTTGAAAATAGGGTCTTCGCAGACGATCAAGTTGAAATGAAGTTATTAGGATGGCCCCAAATACACTATAACAGCATCTTTATAAAATGGGAAAATGTGAGCACAGAGGAGGACACACATAGAGGGAAGATGAGGGGAAGACACAGGGTAAAAATGCCATTAACAAGCCAAGGACTGACTGGGCTGTGAGGTGTTCTGAGTGAGGAAATGGACTTGATTTTTCCTGTCAGCTCTCTGGATGACCTAATCCTAAAAAGGTTCTGCTTTTAGACTTAACCCCACAAGAACTGTGAGATAATAACTTTCCATTGTTTAACTCAGTCGATCAATGGTGTTAACTGCAGTTCTAGAAAACTAATACAAATGCCTTCAAGAGATTTCAAAATCAACGCCAAAAATCACTTACCCAGAAAGAATCCTTGTAGGGTTATTGAAAGAACAGAATTAGGCAAAACACATGGCTGTCATCTAAATCTAACACACCTCAAAAGCATCTCATGTCCCCATTTGCTGCTGTCACTTTACAGTTCATCCACCAGCATCAAAATAAGCATGCCTATCATCGATGTTTGGAATGCATGGTAAACTGCTTTTTAGTTCATCATTTCAGGATTGGAGGATGTCTACAAGGGCTCTCTCTCACCCAGGAAAGAGGCCTCCATCAACTAGATGCTCACTGTGGATGGTCTACCAGCATGGGGCATCTGTGGGAGTCGTAAGTTCTCGGTGGCCATCCAAGGGGCTCCAGTATAGGGTGATGAATGTTCTAAGAAGCTTCGTGAAGACGATGACATCATAATTATTTACCTATCACTTATCTACCACCATTTGAACGTAGCTAAAGACAATTATGACATCATCAAAATCTATAGAAGGGCTTGAAACATGGCTGTAAAACTTTCAAAGGCCATTGACTTATTTTCCTTTGGTATTGAAACCACTCACGTTCTGCTAAGATTTTTTTTTTAAATTACATAATCCTCTTATGTGGCATCCATCACTTCTTTTAGGCATGAATGTATCTCATAGTTCTACCTCTTGTTTTCAGAATTCACTTGTTCGTTTTTCATTCTTATTTAACAATTTTTAGGCAGTGTATAAAATTTTATTGGAGAGAAATCCTATTAAACTGTAAAACTGAACTTTTCTACCTTACTTCCGCTCCACCCTCCCCCCAACCAATTACCAAGAAATCTGCTGCCCCTATCACTCAAATTACATAAGTAGGTCACTTGACATTATATTTGTCAGTACCGTTTCACTCAAAGAAAGGGGGAAAAAATCAATATGTGGAATGCCTTTAATAGAGAGCAAATTAATAGAGATCAGTTCATAATAGAACTGCTATTTTCAGTGGTTATTACCTAGAAATGATAGTAAGGTCATCACCTGGGTTTGTGGTTATAGCATCACCAGGGGAGAGATGACAGGGACAGGCTGAGACCTCTGTGAGCTGATGCTTCTTGTTTGCAACCTTGTGTGGGTCTTGGTGCTACAGTAAGGTGGCAGGTAATGCACAGACTAGGAGCCAGCATGATCACCAATGTTTCCTCTTGATCTGAGTGAAAATATTTGGGCTTGAAAGAAAATCCATTTCACTACCCAGCCTGTCATCATGGGATAAGGCCAATTTCCCCAAAGCTGGCCCTGAATGTTCTGAGAAGTTGGATCCACTAGGTTCTGCATCCTCTCTGTCCAGGATGACTCTGTGCCATGCCCTAAGAAAAAACTGGTTCCAGCTCAGGGTCACCAGTAGCTGTGGCTACAGCCTTTGCAAGTCCTTTGAGATGACACTGTCATTAAAACTGCAAACCATTTCCCAAGTCTCAACCCAGGGCCTGTGGCAAAGCCAGAGCTGGCTGACCAGAGTTGAGACTCAAGAGCTCTGGGCCTCCTCATCCAAGCTGGTCTCGGGAGACCCCCCAACAGTTCCGCCTGTCTTGTCTCCTTCACCCCCTGTTTCCCCCTTTCCCATCCCCAACTTCAGCACGGGCTGTCCTATCTTTTGTTCTGGCAGAGATAAGATGTATAAATGATGAGCGGTTGACAAAGTGTACTCCAGTGCCGCAGGCAGCTCATCAATCATTTTCCACATGTCGACAGATAATTGATGCAAACCCTGCAGGCGAAGCTCCATCAGGTGAGGAGGGAAGAATTAAATCTGCTGTCAGGAGCCAGGCGGCTGATCTGTATTTAACATTCTTTTTAATTTAGCACTTGTTTGTTTTAAACTGAGTTTGCTCGTGGGTTCCTCCTATACTCTGCACTTAGAGGAGTGGCCTGGGGTCTACTGACCACCCTCACCCCCCCCCCCACCCCAGGGACCCTGAACCCTGCGGGCTTCCTTGGCGAGGCTCTGGGGAGGGAAAGCAGACCAGACCACCCAGGACTGCTAGGGAGGTGCAGGGAAACTTACTTTCTGCATAAATGAAGCTTAACATCAAAGGCTTGGCTGTCAAGCAATTATCTGTCAACAGGTCAGGTTGGCAGGTGCTACCTGTACCTAAGGAAGAAAGCACTTACGACTTTCTTAAAGAAAAAACCACACACATAATCAAAATAATCCAACCTCATATTTCCTTGCTGAAATGAAGTTGAGTAACACTTTCATAAGAGATTTAAAGGGGTTTGGGTACCCTTACTTCCCGCACTTCTATCAAACAATTCTAAAGTGAAGTCAAACTTCGAAGATGCTAGTTAGCTGGGGAAATCAGAGAATCCTGACAAAGGCTCAGAATAAGTAAGTTGCATTCTCCAAGTTGACTCCAACTTATTGTTGTAACACCAGCCTCCAATGTTCGCCTACACACACACACACACACACACACACACACACACACACACACACACACGGTCTCCCACAAAACTCCAGTTTTGTAAAATTCTTTGCTTTTGGTGGTGACTTGGGTATTCTGGTGAACAGAGGAAAATAATCACATCTGCCCCAATCACCAGTTTTCAAAAGAATGATAATATAATCTATAAGACCCTTAACTCCAAAGTGACCCTCAATATCATCTTGTAGTGCCTTAGGGTCATTCGTAGGAATATGATATACTAAAAAGTGTTCTGCTTGATAGAATGCCAGATAAACCAGCTTTTAATAGATTTCATTTTCTACGAGGAAATGAGCTGACATCTAAGAAGACTCAATTCTTATAGCCATGCATCAGTCCCTGAAGTTGTCACCATGCTATCTTAGCTCAAAAGCAGACATCTTTCAAAGTAGAGATCTACTCTGCCCAGCCTTGCAGCTGCTCAGACTCAAAAACTGCGGTCTTTATCAGGGTGAAGTCTAAAAACACGAATGTCCTCACACCATGGTCTGCCCCCAAAGATCTCCTACTGGTATTCTTCTGACATTTGCAAATCTAACCTTGGGCCCCTCTCAGCCAGCCCCCAAAGGGAGTTTTATGAGTAAGAGACACTAGGAGGGGAATGCTGAATGTTGTGTTCAAGATAAGCATCTTGAATTGGATAAGATAAGTTAAGTGTAGATACTGTTGTTGTTGGTTTATTTTGGAGGTGCTAGGAATCTAACCCAAGGTCTCCAGCATGCTAGGCAAATACTCTACCACTGAGCTACACTCCCACCCCTGGATTTTTTTTTTTTTTTTTTTTTTTTTGATGTATAAGGAAAGCTAACAATCATCAACTTTAGTCATACACTTAATCTTTCAATGAATGTTTAGTATAAGCCTATCAAGTGCTAGGCTAGAAGCATAGATGTTTATCACATGAAATGTCCATAGCGGACAAATTCATGAATATTCTGTAATATAAAATGTCAAGTTCTCTGTCAACAGATGATCCAGAGAGAATGAGAATGGCTAATGAACACATTTTTTGAAATGTTCAGCTTCACTAGAAATTAGAGAATACAATGTACATTAAAATGAAGAGATTTTTATGCCTCTCAAGATAGCCAAGGCAGAGGGGAAGTGATAACATCCAAGGTTTTAGAGTATGTGGGGAAGTGAGCATTGATACACAGATCATACAGAAAGAAGAGGTTAACACTGTCTAAAACTCAGTTTAGCAGCAGGCATCAAAGATCTTAACTATTTCTAAAAATTTTTTACTATAGTGATCATTAAAGATAGTTCAATAGTACAGAGAAGATTAGCATGGCCCCTGTGCAAGGATGACATACAAATTTGCAAAGCATTCCATATTTTTTGACATGATGGTAGCCATTGCCAATTTCCTGTCATCTTGTTTAAAGTCCAATAATGTTTTCTTTGTTTTGATTGGTTTCAGTCTGTTTTCTATTATTTGATCTCAATATGTGTGAAGGTATGGACAGCTATTTTGAGGAAAACAAGAGACATTATGGTAGCCATTGTTGATTTTCCTATTGTCTGGTTTTGAAAGCCTGTAATGCTTTTATTCTTTTGTTTTGAGTGGTTTCATGCTATTTTGTTTTGTTTGAACTTACTGTGTGTCAAGGCATGGACAACTATTTCAAAGAAAACAAAAGACTTCATGGTAGCCACTGCTGATTTCCCATTGGCTTGTTTTGAAGTCCTGTGTTGCTTGCCTTGTTTAGTTCTGATCTGCTTTGTTCTGTTTTGTTTTGTTTTGTTTTATTCTCTTTAAAAAATAAAAAGAAACATGATATGTGCATGGTGGGCTAAGGCATTGCAGGGTAAGTCCATCGTGGGAATTTGGCAACAATTCAAGGCAGAAGTAGCTTTACATGGAATACTGAAAGCTGAAAACCATCAGGCCATGTTGCTCAGAAGGGCACACCAGGAAGTGGGTGGCTAGGAAGGAAAGGACAGAGAGATGGAGAAAGGAAGCCCTTGTGACAGGGAGGAGCATCAAGTCCACTGGTGGCAAAACTTTTAGAGCTCCCGATGATACCAACAGCCCACAGCAGCACATATGCCGTAGGTTTGCCACCGCTATGGCACTGGCTAGCTGGTCAGAAGCATGATAGCTGTGAAAAAGCAGACTTTTGGCTGTGTCTGGTTGTACTGATCCTTCAGCAGATGCTTCTGGTAGCCTAGGGTGGCCCTGGTTGCTCTTCTGCATAAAAGACGGAATCAGAATCATGGCCTTTACAATGTTACTTCGTTTGTATTATGTAAGAGAGGCAAGAAAGGCCCTGGCCTCATTCTGTAAGTTGTCTCTTCACTCTGCATGCATATCCAAGTTGATGGCAGCACAATTCACAATAGCAGCCTATAGATCCATCAACAGAGGAATGAATAAAGAAAATGTGGTATTTATACATAATGCAATACTCTGCCATTAAGAAGGATAAATTTGAGTTATTTGTAGGCACCTAGAGATATAATGTTAAGTGAAATAAATCAGACACACAGCTAAAATATCACATAACTTGTCTTAATGAAAAACCCAAAGTATAAGTAATTTTAAAAAACAAATAAAAACACAATAGGAAACAGGGAGATGGATCTTTTACAAATAGGAAGAGGATCTGGAAATGAAAGCAGGAAGGAAAAAAGAGAAGAAAGGAGATAAGTAGAGTTAAGACATGTTAAGTACACGTGCCATTCCCTAAGATGAATGTAAACATTATGTGTTGCAAATATGTCCTAATAAAAAATTTTGAAATACACAGGCTAAGCTGGGAAGAGAAAGGAGGCAGAAAGACACTCACAACAGTCATCCAACTGTCCCCCAGAAACAATACACTCCTCATTAACACACAAGGGAAAAGCTAGGCTGGCCGGGTTTCATAGAACAGCAGCTTCTAACCCAAGACATTTTTTATAAGTGCCTGCTTATCAAAGCACAGGTTAACAAATGATCTGTCTCCATTTACAAGTTATCAGAACCTGCTATCAATCCCTAATTAAAATTTCAAGATACAAGGAACTCTGAGACATTTTAAATACACAGAGTAACCGAGAGTAACAGAGGTGAGCTGCTACCCTAACAGCCTGCCCAGATGGGGTCAGTAATTAATAACGCGAGGGGCTAGAAATGTGGTAATTTATGAATATTTATGGCTCAAAATGTATCTAGAAAATACTCTGGATATGTGTAAATGGAGACTAGAACAAAGCTGGTAACTCCCTTGGAAACTGCTCAATATCATTTATATTTATATTTAACTATTGATTTACTGTTGTTCTAGGAAGTGAACTAAAAAGAATTTGTTGAGCAGCCTCAGTGACTGGCATTCAGAAAGAATAAGAATGACAGTTCACACTGATTGGTGTTTCTTACTGTTCAAAATAAGGATACAAACTCATTGAGACACTTACAAGGCAAATATTACTATCATCCTATTTTATATATGGAGACTCTGCAGAGAGGTTAAGGAATTTATCTTGGACAGAAAAGCTAGCAAAACAAAGAACCAGGACACAAACCCAGCTGGTATAACTCCCCACTTTAGAATACTTGTCATTAAAACTCTTAAATCATTTGCAGCACAGTGGTGGACGAGTGTGTGTGTGTTTGTGGTTGGTGCATATTGGTGCATATTGCAGAAGGTATGGTTGGTGCATACTGCAGAAGGTGAGAAAGAGACACAAAATATTGAGAAGCAGAGCAGGACCATGGGGCCTTGTGCTGGGAAGAGCCCTCCCTGTGGGGAGGAAGATCAACAAACAAACCTGCTTCGGTACAGTGGAGAGAACAGTGGTTCTGGGTAGCAGTTACATCTCAACTCTACCCACCTGGCACAGTTGTGTGCACAGGGCTGAGGATCATATGCCCAACCACTGAGGATGTATTTTATGAGACAGTCCTCTGTGTCTGCACTCAATGGCAGTGAGCTATGAACAGTATTCTACCCACCGCAAAGAGTGATCCATGCAATAGATTAAGCAGCAGGAAGGAAAGTCTGGTTGGTGATGGGCTGCAGAGCTACAGCCTGGGCATTCTGAGGATGCTGGAATGGAAGAGCCTCTGTGGCAAAGCTAGAAACCTGGGCAGTGACAAGGGAGGTCAGTTTAGAGATTAGTGATAGCTCTGGGTGTGTGAGCCCAGCCCCGGTACATGTGTGAACTGGGTGGGTAGGACTTGGCTCTGCTGATGGTCGATACTGTGGTCTGGATATGGTGTGCTCCTCCATGCACTGTGTGTGAGAAGAAGTGATAGCTTTGAGGTGCTGGAGCCTTTCCAAAGACCTGGGCCCTAGTGGGAGGTCATTGGAGGTGTTGTCCTTGGAAGGGATGAAGAAAGGTCTCATGGGTCTCTGGTTGGTTCTTTTGAGCATGGATGGTTATAAAAAGAGGGAGTCTGACCTGGGAATCTCTCTCCATTTTCCTGTCTCATCATTTCACTGAAGTTTTCATCATTTGTGATGCCATGTCACAGAGGCCCCCACCAGAGAAACTGCAACAGCACCGCACAATCTTGAAATTTCAGCCTTCAAAGCTTAGCTAAATCACCTTTTTTTCTTCATAAAGTTTCCAGCTTGGGGTACCTTGGTATATAGCAATAGATGATAGACTAACAGTTCAGAAGCATACTGGAATGATTCCTAATACCACAACCCACTCTAGAAAGCAACTCAAGTTGTTAAGCAGGGGAAAGAAACAAAGGGAAGAGAGATATTGGGAACCACCATATTTTTAAAATTGTAAATTATTGATTACTTTCATATTTCCACCAGAGGACATATTATACTTAGGGTAAGTTAGTCTCCAATTAGTTTACATTGGTTACTCTTCACAGATGTTAGACTACATCGATGTTCCTTGGAACACAGACAAAAAGTCATCCTGTAAGCCAACTGTACTCTTGGGCTATGCCCTGCTCAATGCTTACACATCTTTAATCAGTCCTCGCCTCATGGATCTGGGCCAGACAAAGGGAACTGTGTGAAAAGCACAAAGTCCCTGGCCTTGTATCCAGGGCTGCTACAAACAGGAACACCTCTCTGGTCTCTCTAGGTCCCTGGACATCTTCATAGATGTCAAGGATGGACTTTGCTATAAGCTGTTTGCATACAGGGAACTGTAAATACCAATTGTTCCCATTGTTAGAGCCAAGCGGATGGCTTTCGTTGAAGCTCATTTGGCAACTGGCCTGCCCCACAGAGCTGGCACTTCCTCTATTCTCTGAGTCAAAAGCAAAGTTTGCTTTTAATTTCTGCAACTTGGAGCTCCCCTTGTTGACAAGAGAGCTGCATGAATTGACGTCAGAGACCAGATTCCCCAGCGCTCCAGCACCTCCAACTCTCTGAGCTGGAAAGTGTTGATGGAACTTCAACCTCCTGCTCTTTATTGTCCCTGTCCACACCAACCACACAGCATTTTCCATCTGTGCTGCGTGGACACTGGCTGATCATGCTGCAACAGAAACACCGGGGGAGGCTTGGGCAGGCCAGCTGCAGGCTCTGGAAAGCCCTTCTTCCTCCACGTCACCTCTGTGAGAGGGTCTGCTTTTCTTGTTACTATCTAGAACCAAAACTCCACAGACAGAGGAAAAGGGAATGCTGACAAGTTGCTGGAGAATTAATTTCTTTTCCAACTCTCTCCATTCTCCTCCCAACACAGCTACCAGACTTAGTGGGGACGTCTTAGAGCAGATGCACTCTGTCTGCTGTGATCCACACTGATGGTTTTCTTCAGTTGGTCAAAATGCTGTATTTTCCTTCACTATTTTGTTCTAAATCAACTGAAGCAAGTTCATTTGCTGGACTTTCGAGGAATGCCTTTGCTTCAGCATACGGGTCTAGGGAGGGGAGTTTAGCATGGATTATTTTGCACAAACTATACTCATTATATAGCTTTGAAAATGTCCTGTTTGGTTTCCTTTAAAGGGGAAATGGAATTTTGAAACTCTTGCAAGGCAATTTGGGTGCAGCCTCTGTCTAGAATTTTGACTTTTTTTTCTCCCATGCTTTTACAGTTGTGTTGCCCACACTTAACTGAATCCACACTCATGTGTGTGTGTATGTGTGTGTGTGTGTGTGTGTTTAACTGCACTTCACTGCGTTTTTCTAAAACACTCATTTTAATTTTCATAGAAAACCATTTCTATGCAGCCTCAAATTTCATTGGCTTTATAACTTTTAATTAAACTGCATTATTACAATATAAACACCACCAACATAAGTAGTTGTAGGAGCAGACTAAGCTGATTCTGGTAAACATACATTTCGTGGGTGGGAGCAGAAGGGTCTGGCTGTGCATACGCAGGGAGGGGGGAGGTCTGTCTCAGCCAGTAGGACTCAGGGAAGAGTGGGGATC